TGATCGCACCTATGCATTCAAATAATAAATGTTGTAATTTCTTGAGCTTATAATTCGTTATTGGATCTGGACCTACATTAAGTGTCCTCAAATTTCCAAGCTAGGACTCAAGCTAGATTTTTATGCTTAGTTGAGCGTGACATGCGTAAAGGACTAAACCTACACCCGCTAGGGGATCGCAGTTCGAATCCGATACTTAAGGGCACACATAACTCATACATAACATAGAAAATACGGTGTGTATTAGATAACATTTGGATTTGGAGCTTATTATTGCCACACCCGTTTGACGTGACCCGGTGGCGCGAGTGTGTGTGCTCTCCCGGTGTACGCGAGTGCTCGAAATTCATAAGTCCGTTTTTTCAATGTCAAAAAATACACATTATTTAAAAAATAATGATAATAAATTAATAATCTAGCTCAACTCGCCGCTCAAGTACGTAGCTGGGATCCGCCAGACATGCACATTTAAGGGTCTTTTAACGGATTACTCGCCCCTCGAGATTGAAGATTGATGCTATATTATTATAATATTTCATTTTATGATTTTTTTGCAAATCATTTTGTAAAAAATGTTCACATATTAATTGTATGGATATAATTTTGGAGTACTTAGCTTTTAAGTGGGCTGGATTGGAGTGTTGTTAAAATTGTGGCCCATCAGCAACTTTGGACATTAACTTTGGGCTCCCTGAGTTTTTGGCCGTTGGTTCTTTCATACTCCACGTTAGAAGTCCCAGCTAGCTCCTGAATACCCAGAAGAGAAGTGCTCCTTGATGCGGAGGGCGAGAGGGATGACGTGCAGCTGACAAAGTCTCCAGTCGGGCGGAGATGCCCTGAGTCATCGGCGTTGTTGGGCAGCAGGTCATCGGAGAGAGGTGAGGACCCATTCTGTTCTGCTTCTACCTTCGTTGCTAGATATTCTTACTTTATTCTTACTTTATCAATTCAATAACAACTACATAAACCACTTTTTATTAATTTGCGTGTAACTCCCTGTTGTCCCATTGTTAGCGGGACAATATGTTGCATTGTCTCATTGTCCCATACATATGTTGCATAACCCATCCCACACACGTGACTTTTTGTGGAATAATACTTCTCTTTTTTATTTGTTTAACAAAATTGTTAGAGATAAGGAATACATAGCACATGGTGTTAATACTTTTTCTGAAATTGATGCCCCTAAAGATTTTGGTGCCCTAGGCACATGCTTATGTGCCTCCCCCCAAAAGTCGGATCTGCTGTTTGGATTATGAGGAAGGCTTTCCAGAGGCCATTAATGGCGGACCTTCGACATTGAGCTCCAATAGTCGAAAAAAACACGAGTAGGAAAATGGTGACCGGAGTTGGGTGACCGAAGCTGGCGACCGGATCTGAACTTTCCATGAGCTGGGATGGTGACCGGATCAAGATGAGGAGCTGGCGACATGAGCTGGGCGAGCGGCGCTGCCATGTGGGAGGCAGATCTTGTGCTTGGAGTCACAGAACTTGGGATTGGGCTCGCTACCATGGCGACCGGAGTTGGGTAAACGGTGTTGCCATGGGGGGGGCAGAACTCGTGCTTGGGGTCACTCACTGTGCGTCACTCCCCAAACGTCATCCCAGTCACCAGCAGATAGTAGATGAAGTCACCAGAAGCCTGGAGAAGTGGATCTACGAGCCCTTGACGTCCTTATTCCTCACCTTCCGGAAGCTGTGCAGCCGGGCTAGATCTACTCCAGATCTGGATAATTCCAGAACTCTTTGAGGACAGTTTCTTCATTTTCCAGACAGATTTTTGCTAGAACTTTTGTAATTGGGATGCTTCTTGTTGTTTTTGGAAGGATTTCTCACTTGATTTTTGATAAAACTCTCAATGAAAGCACCATTGATGAATTATATGTTATCCAAAGTATAATAAAAGGGAGAGATTGAGCTATAGTAAATGTGGAGAAGAAGAAAGTGTATTGTGTGAATGAGTTGTGTTCTATGGAATTGTGTTCTAGTTACTTAGGGTTACAAGAGGCTCCAATACGAGTATAAATAGGAAAATCCGGGTCTGGGCTTCTAATATGAGCCCAACAGACCCGGTTACATAAATGGACTGATAATATAAAACGCTAATCTAGTGGATACAAATTGGACTGTACAATAATACAAGTAATATCGTGAGACCCGGAGGTCCGAGTCTATATACTCTATCAATATTCATGATTGTCTTATATGATTCGGGTATGCTTGACCACGATTGATTTATTAGGTTTGCATGGCGGTTGTCAGCATGTCCAGGGAGGCTTGGGGCATGACATCATACTCTTCTGGTCCTTCTCATATAGGTACGTGAGGGTCCATTTCAAATAGACAACGGTTGATAAGGTGACAGCTCAAGGCGATGGCGCATACGCTTTGGCTAGGGTAACAAATTGGATAGCTCAAGACGCTTATGACAAGCTAGGGTGATCGATCAGATGACACTATGTGAGTTATAGTTGGCTACTAGGGTTAGAGGAGGTATGGTAGTTATGATTTCATGTGGTGGTGGTGCGACAAGTGGGATTGGGGAAGGGGGCATGGGTATCAACATTAAGAGAGACGTGGATTTGGGGGGGGGGGGGGGGTAACTAGTCAATGAACAGCGTTGGGGTGGTGATGGTGAGTATGAAATGCTGGTTTTGCAAAGTACATGTGGATTCATTGGAGCATATTTTCTTTATATGTCCATTCAAATGTCATAGAGGTTTTCTCAAAAATCACTGTGACAATACTAAGGTGCAAGGATAATGAGCAATGCCATCCGGCTATCTCCTTTATGCATTGTGTACATAATTTGAAAGTCAGGGAATTGAATGAGGTTATTTTTGCTCATAAGGTGACTATAATTGAATATTGATAGTGTTTTTGCAGATTAAACTTTTGGTGTTCAATGTGTTATTTAAACTATATCCTATCAATTATTGATTTTTATGGTGGTGAGTTGGTTGTTTTCTTGATTATCTAGTGCTACCTTGTCAGTTTTACATATGGTACTCAACTACTCATACGCAAATTGTTGACTAAGCAGTTTGCCTTTTGCTTTGGTGACAGAGGAGGAATGGTTGCATTGGTTGCAGAATGCATGATGCTATTGTTTTTTTTATTAAGTGCAGTTGTTGAATCATTAGCACTTGACCATCCATAAAGCACGTTGCCCGTCCCAAGAACTTGAACTTCACTTATCGATGACTGAACCAACTCATAATTGCAGATTCACAAAGCCTCAAGACCTTTCCTGAGAGATGGTGTTTTTATTAAGATTTCATTACGGAATAAATCTAATAACAAAATGACTTTGAAGCTTCAATACAAACTGTTACATTAAACTCAACACCTACATATATGGCTACATATTCACTACGTATTCTTTATTTTATTTTATTTTATTTTATTTTTTGAGTTCTACATATTCACTACGTATTCTTTAATTAGCTGTTAAGTTGTTAAATGAGGACATTAATTATTTTTTAGGTTAATGTTATAAGTACAACTATTTAAATCAATTTTCAATTTAAAAAAATATCTATTCGTTTGTTGTAGCCTTTTCTTTCACCCTCTGTAGATTCGTTGTATGACTGCCAACGCATCTCAAACAATTTCCTTCGATGTTCATGTCTATCATTGCTCTTACTATTGCAATTGACTTTGATGCCTCAACTAGATTATCAACCTCTGCCACATAGTCAAGCTAAGTGAATTGATCGATTTTGGAAGGTTTAGGAAGGCTTCACCCATCTTCCTTCAAGGCCATTTGTTTCTCAGCCATTGAAGAATCGCCAAAGCTCTTTCTTGTATTCTGAAAACTACGTTCTCATCTTTATATAAAAAAGGATTGAGAAATTGTGATGCTCCTATAATTCGCTTAAATTTTGAGAGACTTGTTCAGATATTGAGCATATGACACTCGCTGGCGACTATCGTCTATTGAGCACAAAATTGATGTGGAGAACAATCAGATAGTTCGCCATCCCAGAATGACACGCGTTGATCTCAACCCTGATTTTTTACGGAAGCAATTTTCTACAAGTAAGAGTAAGATACAGAAGTAAAGGCACGGAAATGAACCGAAATGCGATGATAAAGGCCGGGATGAATGGCGTTTCATATTTTGGTTGTTCGGGTCAAAAAGTCAATTGAAAAAGTCATTTAACCAAACACTTTAATTAGCAGATTGATTTGGTCAAAAGGTCGAACATGGTCAAATCAGCCAAAAAATGACGGATAAGCTGCTAACCAAACATCCCCTAAGTAGTGACGGATCCCTTTAGTTCGAGGTTGTTCAGCTGAACACCCAAAAACTTGAAAATAAAGTGTAAAAATACATATAAAATTGAAGTAATAATTTATAAGACAGTATATTGTATATTTTATACAATACTACGTATTTCTTATTCGGAACCCTATTTGCTAGTTTTTTTGTAGTTCAAAAAAATTACATTTCTTCAATTGTTCGGATCAAATAATATTATTGAGTAACATTTTAATGTTAAATTAATTTTGAACATCCAACATTTTATTGCAAGATCCACCACTGATTTTAAGATAGGTTTATGTTAAGGAACGTGAATAAATTAATGCATAAATCCAAAGTATCACCTTCACTATTGCTACTTCTTCTTAACAAAACTAAGAGGGCGTTTGTTAAAAATTAAAATAAGTGATTTTCAGCTTTTGCCTAAAAAAACTGAAATTAGTATTTTCAAATGACACACAACTTATGCTTAAATCAAAAATTTAAAAGTTAAAAGCCGGAAGCAGTTGAAAGGGTGCTTTAAACTATTTTTTACTTTTTTTATTACACAAAAAGAACTTATTTTATCTAGCACTATCAACTTTTACTTTTTCAGAATAACTTTTTTCTCGAACACTACTCACTTTTACTATCAAGTATTTACTCCAGAATCACTTTAAAGAATCACTTTTTTGAAGTAGAAGCAATCACAAACACTCCCTAAATGATAAAACTCATTCATGACATTACTAACCTCTCTAGCAAATCTGTTTCCAGCTTCCTCTATCCAAATTCCAGAAATTGAACTTAATACAGGAGTATCAAAGAAGAAAGTACCAGGGGGTTGAGAGAATAGTGCAAAAGATAAGCTTTTCTCTCACATGTTCCACGCAATACAATGATGTAATCCTTTATGTTTCGTAGGATTCACCAAAATGAAAAGGTCTAAGAAAGTACTACTCACGCAAGATATGAAGACCCAAAGGAGGGGGAAGTAGATAGAATCTGTCAGCCTGTTGGCATGTGCTGAAGCTAGAAGAGGCCACCTTTTATCTGCCTCGTCTAAAGGGTGAACTCAGTCGGCCAGTCCAAGTTCAGGAATCCGAACGGGGGCAAAAGACCAAAATGGGTGCTCGTTAGTTCAGTTCTAGACCGGAATGGGTACCAGAACCGGAAGAAACCAGTTCCAATTCCTCTAATAGATGCCCCGGCCGAACCAGTTCCGGCTTTTTAACCGTTTCAACTGTTTTCACAAAATTGGCTACTTCATTGGTCCAACCAGAACCTAGCAGGAAACAGAACAAGAGCCGTACCCGTTTTTGCCGGTTATGGTTACGGGAAACAGAACCAAGCCTCATCTGGACACGACATAGATATCAGTAGAAGAGACTTGCATTTAAAAGAAGGGAACATTTTCTAGATATGACTAAAAGATAAACAACTTCTCAAAATATGACTAGAAATCTCCTGTATGTTTAATATGACTAATTTGTAGGTAAAAGACATACGGTGCCATAATACATTAGGAGTAAATATCATTAATACCCTTGGGAGTTGGTTTTATAAAAAAAGTCTTCCTCCGTTTTACTTCTTCAAATAAGGAATCATGCATTTTTTTGGGTGGAGTCATCCATAGGGATCATACATTATTTCATCCGACTGAATTATAGTATTAACTATTCCGTCCATGCACTATTTTTGCTAGCATTAAAATCTATTTGAACTAAATATACCACAATGAAGGGCAGTAATTGCACATGCATGTGTTGTGTATATTGAGCGGTAAAGAGTATTGGCTCTGGTGCAATATAGAAGGGCAATAAAATACATAGACGAGTATTCATATAATTATGAGCAATAATATATATATATAATACAGATAGTAAGTAATTTTTAGGAGTATAGACAATAATTTTACAAGCAGTGAAAGTATATCTATGGTGCAATATAGAGGGGCAGTAAAATACATAGACCGGTTTTCATATAATTATGAGCAATATATATACTCCATATAATATAGGCAGTAAGTAATTATATTTTAGGAGTATAGACAGTAATAATGAACGAGCAGTGAAAGTATATTTACGGTGAAATATAGAGGGACAGTATAATACATAGACATGTGTTCATATAATTACAAGCAATATATATATAATATAGACAATAAGTAATTTTTAGGAGTATATACAATGATAATGAACTAGCAGTGAAAGTATATCTACCGTGCAATACTGAGGGGCAGTAAAATACACTCACACGTGTTCATATAATTATGAGCGTTATATATAATAATATTATATTTATATTATGAGCAGTATTTAATAATATTGTATAGGCAGTAATTATTATGGCTGGAGGGTTTGGAATGAAAACAAGGTTGCGAGTATACATCTCTCCTCTAAATTAATTGTAATTTAAGTTATTCAATTAATTGTTATATTATATGTCCGTTTTTTTAGGAATAGTATTTGTTATGCATGTGTAGCCGATCGATCGTTCATATCATATGCGAGAAAATAGGAGAAAGACTCTCCATATTTATTGAAATAAAAACTAGGAAGGATATTCAATAAACTAATAGCAGTTACCATATATGAATAACTCCTATCCTTATTTTTAGGAAGACCAATTTGAATACACGTTTTGCTTTATTCGTGCATATTACAAGCGGTTAAATAAGATTAATAAATGAGTTCCTATATTTAAGCTTGAGGGTAGCCGAGGAATAAAAAGAACCGTGAATGGCCATGTATCATATATTGAGAATCATAACTAACAAGTCATACATTGGGAAACTTAGGTAGTTTTAGTCATACGAGAGATGATTTTCTCTTAAAAGAATTGATGTCGTGTTGGAGAGGAAAAAAACGCTAGCCCCAGGGAAAGAAAATCCCCCCCACTGTTTTTTTCTGGCTGCAAACTTGATCGAATCCTGCTGAGTTCACTCTTTACTACAACTGCCAGAAAGCAGCAAGCCAGCAAGGAGTGGTTAATGGTGGAGATCTACTGGGAAAAGGAGACAGCGTGCTTGGCTTATTTTCAGGAAAACAGGCTAAGAAGGACACGTTTGGGAAATAAAATGAAAAAAGAAAGTCATTGTGTTTACAATTTTGCACTTATATGGTCAACATTAACAGAATTATGGCGAGACGGTTCTTAGGTCCATGTAGGAGTGCAAACAAGTCAACATATTCCTAAGCTATCTGAAACCGACTCGGTGTATATTGATTATATTCAAACCAAATTGAATTCTTTCTGAGAAGCATGAACTCAAGTAATGAGTCAATCCAAATTCGAGTACTATACTTACCCCGGTACGAGCAGCTCGCAGGCCTAACAAAATTTTTCGATTATACTCCGTATGTTTTTTTGCATGTAATTCAAATTAGCCTATTGATTATGGATCCAATTTTTCCATCATTTTCAATGGAGCCAAAGATTCATTATTTTCTGGCTTGAGAATATGATGGAATAAAGCAAAATGGCTCACTAAACTGTCTGCGCTTCTTTGTTATAAGCAGCCGTCAGTCCATGCAATTTTGGACGGGATTTTCACTATGGATCATCCGGAAACAGTCTCTCTGTGCTTTAGTACAGGGGTAAGACTGCGTACATCCGACCCCCCCTTACCCCACCGTAGGTGGGAGCCTTTGCGGCACGGGGTAAATGAAAATGATATGAATGAATTCAAATGGATCCAATGTGTGTTTGAATAAATAAAAAATAAATCACCAGTCAAGTTTCTTCGACCAGGGCTTGTTGCAAATTAGTGCATGATCGAGCTCAAGTCGAGTTTAGAGCATATTCATTCCCGGTTTGATTACACCCTTCCGCCCATGCATGCACTACCTGCATGGGTAGCATGAAATAAGCCAAAGCTGCGCTTATGGATTGAAAGTAAGTTCAGATATGTAATTGTGCAATGGCTACATGGGCTTAGACAAGGGGGCCAATCCTGGTCATGCCCCGCCCCAAGTCCGGTAACACTATTTCTCGGTGTTGATTTTGTATTGAAAAGCTTATACGGAGTATAATGAAACTATTATTCTGGTCTTTCCTAATTAAAAAAATGAGATCCTACCCAAGCCAGGTTTTGCTTGTGAGAACTAGAAAGTAACAGCAATTAGTGAAAGTGTTAAACGGTTCAAGCTCTGTCCTTTGAATAGCATCATGAAATTAATTCATAGAGCACATATAGGCAATACTTAGCGCTGGTCTTTTTCAAATTTATTCAAGATCACAATGCTCAGTACATCTAATTTAGGACATGTATTGGACAAAAATGTAAGCAAAGTTAGCACCTTTAGTGCCCCAGCTTCGAGATTGATAACAATCGATCAAATATGAGAGCCAAATTCTCAGGCATATCATCAAATACTATAGTAGAAAGACACAATGAGGAATATTGCATATTCAAGTAGCAAATATAGGAAAACAAACTCATATGGGCACGTATCTTTTCACAGCCTGCTTTGCCGTCACTCCCAATCCAACCACAGCTCCGCCTATTACTCCGGCCACAGCTGCCGACTTCAACCCTGCGGCCGCTCTGTAGAACGCGCCAGTCCCTAGCCCCGCTACCACACTGTTGATGACATCGTCCGTGTCTCTAACCGCCACCATGCCACTCTCCATCCCAGCATAAAGCAGCCCTATCACACCTGCCCGGTTACCAAATTTGCTGCCGGTGTGACCCGACCCGTTCAGGACCCTATTGATCCGGAGCTTCAAGCTCTCTCCTGGCTCGGAAGCTTTGGCGCCCTGATAAAATCCACTAACACCCCCGAATGAGGCGCCGGCGAGATATCCGATGCCGGTGTAATAGGTGAGGTTTTCACCCCAAGATCGACGCTGCACGCGGGATTCTTCTTGGAAAAGGAATTCCGGGGCTGTGGGAAGCTTGTATAATGTCTGGATTGGGATTTGGAGGTCATGATAAGGATTGTAGAGACGCTGGTTCCGCAGGTCTTGATCGTTTTCTCCGCCGGTGTGAGTCGATGCTCGAGGTTGATGCTCCATGAAAAGATCCCGTCGGGTAGACAAAGGTTAGATTTCTTTTCACCGCCGATTGGGCGATCGGAGAAACAGAGCTCCAAGGTTCCGCGGAAGTAAACCTGCGGCGATTTCAAGGGATAAATAAAATCGGACCGGTTCAAAGTCCAAAATGCGCAAACGGTCTTTGCCCGACTCCGCTATAATTCAATTTTTTCAAAATCATATTTATCTTCCTAATGTTCAATTAAATAATTGTTGAGAAAAAATTAATTTATTACTTAACTAATTTTATGGAATAATATGCTTATTATAAAACTCTAACTTCTTAATTATTTTTTCAATCTCTAGCCACTAGTCATTCGTCTAGTCTCCTGCCGCCCAAAATGGTAGTTGCACCTGCACGCCTCCCCCGTCAGGTATCACGGTTGTCTAATGTATGTGCCCTTATTCGCAACCTCCTTTATCCTCACGCGCCGCAACTGTCTCCATGTCTGCTCGTCGTGGCCGTCCTCGTGTTTGCTTGTTGTGACCGCCCTCATGCTTGTGTGCCTACCAGCAACCGTCACCGTCACCGTCACCGTCCCCATGTATGGGCCCCTACAGTAGACTAATTTAGGTACCAACATGGGGAGGTATTAGTTAGCAAAATAAAAGAACTACCCGAGTAGGAATGATTAGGCCGGTTCAACGATGATGTGTGGGTTAATGCTAGAGTTCAACATTAAGCAACTAGAGAACAGTAGATGTGAGGGCTAGATAATGAATAAGCAAAGGAGAAGTTCTAGTTTAAAAAAAAGTAAATGATAGCAGGAAGACATATAATTATAATCCAGATTGTGGGCTTAGCTACCAAAGGAGAAGACCATACGATTGTGTGCATTTTATTATTATATTTTATGTAATACGTGGGTACATGCATTATGCATAGTGGTGTAATAACTAAGAGAATCATAACATGAATTTATTTGATTACGTTTTTAATTTAATGAAGGGTGGCCGGATTCAAACGAAATGGAACAATTGTTGGCAACTTTGTTATTTGATGGGGGCTGAAATGCTCAAAATAGTTTCTTGGCCAAGTCAACGAGCGGACTCCTCGAAGAGAATGCATCATGTGAATCGAGTTTGATTTTCGAGGTAAGAATCATGGATGACAAGTTAAGCAACAAGTGTAGCTAAATATAAAATGGTGGAAGCTCGAGAGGTTCTCCAACAAAGATTTACACACAAAATGTTCGGTGAAGATGTATGGTCTATTGATAATGAAGCACATGTGGAGGATATGTGGTTATCAATGGAATTGACCATTAACAAGGTGTCAAAGGAGGTACTTGGAAAATCTAAAGGATGTTTGCCACACAAAAAAACACGTCTTGGTGGAATGATGATATGAAACAAGCAATAAGGAACAAAAGAGATTGCTACAAAAAGTTGGGGACAAGTTAGAGTGGTGAGAACATAAAAGCATACAAGGAGGCTAAAAGACAAGTAAAGAAAACCGTAAAGGAAGCACGAGAGAAAGTGAACAAGGACTTGTATGAAAAGTTAGACTCAAAGGAAGGAGAAAAAAATATGTATAGACTTGTTCGTCTTTGTGATCATAGGACTCAAGATATTGGAAAAGTTGAGTGATTGAAGGATATCTATCAAAGGATACTAATGGAAGATGGAGAAATAAAAGAGAGATGAAGGTCATATTTTGATACATTATTCAACGGGAATAAGCGCAAGATATTGGTGATTTGACCATACAAATTGTGTGGTAAATTGAGATTTTGTGAGAAGGATCCAACCAACAGAAGTTATAGAGGCTCTGAGAAAGATGGGGCGGAGAAAAGTCGATGGTCCATATAGCATACCAATCGAGGCCTGAATAAGTTTGGGAGAGAGAGGTGTCGAGTGGTTAACAAGTTTCTTCAACAAGTTTTGAAGAAATTAATAACAAAATGCCAACGAGTTGGCAGAAGAGTACCCTTATTCATTTATTTAAGAATAAGATGACGAACAAGAATGTGCCAATTATTGAGGGATTAAGCTCACGAGTGACATCCCGAAACTTTGGGAGAGAGTGATTGAGCATAGACTCCAAATAAGTGTGAAGATTTTCAGAGAATCAATTCGGTTTTATGTCTGGTCGCTCAACAACTGAGGCCACTCACCTTCTTCGACAACTTGTGGATAAATAACAAGGATCTGCAATTGGTGTTCATTGACTTAGAAAAAGCATATGATAGGGTGACTCGAAGTTCTTTGGTGTACATTAACTAGAAAATGTATATCACACAATTAGGTCTGCATTACTGTATGACGTAGAGTGTTGGGCGGTGAAACAATGTCACATTCAAAAATGAGATGCGAGAGTCTCGCTTGCTGTGGTTTGATCATGTGCATAGAAGACCGAGTGATGCACCTGTCAGACGAGTTGAGATGTGTGGAAAGAGTGAGAGGAAGACCCAAACAGGTGTGGATCAGAGGAGTCAGAAGTAATATGCTTCTTCTTGGGTTGGATGAAGGTGTGACTTTGGATAGAGCAGAGTGGAGGGCGGATATTCGTGTGAATGAGTGATCTCTTATCATATTTTCCCCTTCATCTTCTCTTTTTCTTGTTTTTTAATCCTTTTATCTTTTCTTTTCCTTTTTATTCTATCTTTTTTATGTATATCTATCTCTTTTTATATTATCTTTTTCATCATATCTTATCTTTTTATCTTTCTTATCTCTCTTTTCTTTTGATTATGTTATCATGTATCGATTCATGTTAGCGACCCCAAAATCTTTTGAGACTAAGGTTTGAATGTCATTGTATTATAGTATTGTTAAGTCAAATATAAAAAATCTAATATTAACATTAATCAAACCATATTATTAATCGTTGCAAATAAATTAGTAAAAGGAGCAAAATCTTAAAAGGAAAAATTGAGAAGAATAATCTCATCCTTGGTCATTCTTCTCATAATAATCTCATCTTTACGTATTCCCGGAATAATCTAACATTTGCACCTCATGTTCTTTCGTTGGACCCTGATCGGTTAGTGACCTACTATACCAGGTTTTTTGCATTTTTTTGGAAAACTTACATAAATAATCCCACCTTTCACAAATCCGCTCAAAATAGTCCCATGTTTCATTTTTCTTTTTTTCTCCCTAAAATTTTTCTTTCTTTACTTTATCCATAGACACTTTTTGTATCCTTTTTTCCATCCTTTTGTTCTTATTTTTTTCCGTATTTATTAGTCTATTTCTCACTCTATTAAGAGAGTTTTTGTCAATTTTCCTTCCCAAATTCATTTTTTTGTCATTTCCTTATTCTTCCCGTATCTTTAATTCATTTCTCTTTTTATGTTTTTTTTCTTAGTCATTCTCTTTTTATCAACGATCTTTTTCCCACTCTACTTTTTTGTTATATTTTCTTTTTATTTTCAATTTCCCCCTTTTTTCTTGTTACTTTTTTAGTGTTTTTATTCTTTCTTCTTTTCTTTCTTCTTGTTGTCTCAATTCCACCATCAATGTATTTTTTTCTCCTTTCTTCATTATCGTATTTTCCCAAGTAAATCCACCCATTTTTTTGAGAGGAAAACGGACATTATATTAATTCAACTTATCGTTCTCCAACTGATTCACAATACAAACAGGAGAGTACAACTGATCATAACCATCCGACATAGAAAGTGCGGCCCAAGCTAATTTGTGAGCTACTCCATTCGCGGATCTCCTGTCATGAGTGACTTCTATCACAGCTTCATTACGAACAATGAGTCTAATATCTTCAACAATACTATCAAAATAAGGAATCTCCATCTCAATCAATCAGCCATGTTGCCACCATGAGTGAGTCAGTTTCCAACGTTATTCGTACTCATCCCAGCGTACTTACCCTTGACAAAGTCTCTTACCGCCACTACCTCTGTCACACCTGCTGACCAATTTGCGACTAAGGTTTGACAGACGCCTTGTATGAAATTCATGTCTTCATCCCTAGCGATATCCACACCCAAGAGCGTCTGCTCCTATCCAGAGTTAACGCCGTAGACTCCCCTAGGATCCCCAGCCCACCAAATGCTATCATGCAATCTTCTTTTGCTTATTAGGATATAAAGAATGGCCCTTCTCTCATCGTCAGGGCTGTCGAATGAATTTGGAGGCCCCAGTTCAAAATGAAAAATCGGGGCCCTACATTTATATAAACTAAATATTTATACTTAAATCAATTAAATATTCATTAAAAAAGAACGAACAAAGTAAAAGGACCAACGAAAAAATGATGGATCTATATTTTTCTTCTTTACTAGTTAACTGTATTTTACTGATTAGTATTAATTAATATATAATATTACTATATAATACTAATTAATTTTTAAAAATTTGGGCCCCCATAAATTCGGGGTCCTGTTCTGGATAACCTATTGAACCCCTAAAAAAACGGCTTTGCTCATCGTTGAAAAAAAAATCTCCACATGTTGAATATTCCGAACATCGTCGTTCTCGTTCATCAAGGCTGCAACGTTCATGTCCTCAATTCCTACCGGTGAGGGAGATTGAACCCGCCCGGACCGCTCTCCCGGTAGCCACCTCTCCCTCCAAACTGATATGGTTTGATCGTTCCCCACCTTCCTCTGGATGCCTCGCTCAAGCAACTCTTGGGTCTAAAAGATGATACTGCTTTCAAATAAATGATGGGCTATTCCCTAGCTTAGCCTACAAAAAAGAAGACTTGGGGAAATACTTGGCTTTAAAAAATTGCCCAACCAAGGAATTGGGATTTTTAACCGATCTCCATTCCTGTTTGCATGGCATGGCAATATTAAATTCATGTAAGGATCTGAATCCCAGGCCTCGTTTTTAAGAAATGCACGTAGTCTGTCAACTTTTCCATTTGATACTTTTACTCGTTTGATTTGAACCCCGCCACCAATACTCATTCATTATCACACATCCAACATTCCAAAGTTCCAAGTACGCAAAATTAATACATCAAAATATCCAAGACTTGAAGTTCAACTGTTCCACAAGACCACAACTATTTTCCACAGCTTCAAGTTTCCACCTACATACAAGTATGCAAAATTGCAAATGTAAAGCAATAGACAATTAGACATGTATAATAAGTCAGAGTAACTTGGATAAGTTAATGAAACAAATCAGAAAAATCATTGACTCAGAATGCTTCACCAGAAATATAGGGGCAACTGCTACAATTT